GGAGAATATATATTAAATAATCCCAGCTTGGAACAGATAGTTCTTAATCGATTATGACCCAATGCTTTGGTAAACATATCAGCTAATTGATCTTCAGACTTCACGAATGGAGTAGAGATGCTCCCACGTAATATTTTTTCTCGAATAAAGTGACAATCAACTTCAATATGTTTGGTCCTCTCATGAAACACAGGATTTGATGCAATGTGAACTGCTGCTTGATTATCACAGAACAATGGAGTAGGAGGTTCAACTGTCAACCCAAGTTCTTTTAGAAAATGTTGTATCCATGTCAACTCACTAGTGGTATGGGCCATTGCCCTATACTCAGCTTCAGCACTAGATCGAGCTACCGCCGTTTGCTTTTTACTTCGCCATGTAACTAGATTTCCTCCTACAAATGTGCATTAGCCGGTAGTAGATCTCCTATCTGAAGGAGAACCGGCCCAGTCGGCATCTGTAAAACCTTCCACACTGAGATGACCATTTGGTTTATATAGTAACCCAAAACCTGGAGCTTGCTTAAGATATCGGAGAATCCGAAGAACAGCAATCCAGTGTGGCATTCTAGGGGCTCTCATGAACTGACTTACAACACTAACAGCATATGAAATATCAGGTCGAGTGATAGTGAGATAAATTAATTTCCCAACAAGGCGACGAAATCTGCCCGGGTCATTAAATAGATCACCCACATCAGCTACAAGTTTTGTATTTGAATCCATAGGAGTATCAACCGGACGACCACCTAACATACTTGTTTCTTCTAATAAGTCCAACACATACTTTCGTTGGGATAAACTTATATCTGTCTTGGATCTAGCTATTTCAATATCCAAGAAATACCTAAGTTTACCCAAGTCTTTAGTGTGGAATCGATATTGCAGAAATAACTTCAACTTAGCAATACCTTCAGAATCATCACCTGTGATCACAATATCATCAACATACACCACAAGAATTATGAAACCAGCTTTAGTGCGCTGGTGAAATACCGAATGGTCAGTCTGACACCTCTGAAGACCAAACTTTAATGCCGCCTCAGAGAATTTTCCAAACCAAGCCCGTGGAGATTGTTTCAAGCCATATAGAGCCTTTTTAAGGCGACAAACAGTGTGAAAATACTCCCCCTGAGCAACAAACCCAGGTGGTTGCTCCATATAAACCTCTTCTGCTAAGTCACCATGCAAAAAGGCATTTTTAACGTCTAACTGAAACAGAGGCCAATGCCTATTAGCAGCAATAGAAATCAAAACACGAATAGAGGAAATCTTAGCAACAGGTGCAAACGTCTCATCATAATCAATACCATAAGTCTGGGTATAACCTTTGGCAACAAAACGTGCTGTTAAACGCTCAACGGACCCATCCGGAAGATACTTCACAGTATATACCTAGCGACAACCAATAGGTTTGACACCTGGAGGTAATGGAACAAGAGTCCACGTGCCATTCGTATGCAAATCATCCATTTCACCCTGCATTGCTTTCCTCCAACCCGAATCAGACAAAGCATCCTGCACAGTCTTAGGAACAAATGTAGTAGACAACTGAGAGGAAAAACATGAGAATGATGGTGATAAGGAATTATAAGAAACATAATGAGCAATGGGATGTTTAGTAGCACACGAGCGAGGAGCTTTACAAAGTGCAATCAGCAAGGAATCAGACACAGTGGAATTTGTCGGATCCAAAGACTCTGAAGATGATGGAGGAGGCACGACAGCAGATGGCTTTGGTCTTCGTTTGTCACCTGTAACGGGGCAGATGAAGGAACCAGAGATTGAGATTGAAGAGAAGGTGAGGGAAGAGGAACTGCAGAAGGAGGCGACTCAAGATTGATATCAAGAAGTGAATCAGTATCTGAAAAATACGGATGGACTCAGAAAATGTGACATCCGCGCTAATAAAGTACCGTTGAGAAACAGGACTATAGCAGCGATAACCTTTATGAGAGCGAGAGTAGCCAAGAAATACACACTTTGTGGCACGTGGGTCTAGTTTATCAAAACCAGGACCAAGATTGTGGACATAACATACACATCCAAAAACCCTAGGAGGAAGAGAAAACAAAGGAGAATCAGGAAATAAAATAGAATGTGGAGATTTGCCATTTAATACAGATGATGGCATACGGTTAATAAGATGACAAGCTGTAAGAACAGCATCACCCCAAAACCGTTTAGGTATACGCATATGAAACAAAAGAGCACGAGTTACTTCTAAGAGATGTCGATTCTTACGTTCTACAACTCCATTTTGTTGTGGAGTACAAACATATGAATTTTGATGAATAATTCCTTTATCACTAAGATATGTATCAAAGGGAGTTGAAGAATATTCCTTAGCATTATCGGAACGTAGAATACGAATTGGACATCCAAATTGAGTTTTGATTTCTTTACGAAATTTTTGAAAAACTAAAAATAACTCAGAACGATCTTTCACTAGAAACAACCAAGTCAGGCGAGAATAATCATCCACAAATGTCACAAAATAATGAAATTTATTAATTGAAGAATGTTATATTGGACCCCATACATCTGAATGAACCAAATGAAAAGGACTAGAAACACGATTATTAACCCTGGACTTGAAAGACACGCGATGGTGCTTACTAAGTTGACAAACTTCACATGACAAGAATTTCAAATAACTAAGACTAGGAACTTGACGCTTCAAAACTTGAAGTGACGGGTAACCAAGGCGACAGTGCCAATGGAATGGAGACAGAGAAGACTGAAGAGCCACAGGAGAAGGTTCGAAATCAAAATAATATAAGCCACCGGCTTTATGTCCCGTACCAATCTTCTTCTTCGTCTTGAGATCCTGAAACACACAAGAAGTAGGATCAAATATAACAGAGCACTGGAGAGATTTAGTAAGCTTACTGATAGACATTAAGTTAAAAGGAAACTGCGGAACATGTAAAACAGACGAGAGAGATAATGAATCACTAAGTTGAGTTGTCCCCAAACCTGAAACCTGAATGGATGAACCATTAGCAAGAGTAACACTTTGAGAAGTAGGTACAGAATGAAAATCAGATAGAAGAGAAGAACATCCGGTCATATGATCAGATGCTCCAGTGTCTATGATCCAAGGACTGCGAGTGGAAGACAATAGACATGTGTGTGCAGTACCTGACTGGGCACAGGTAGCCGTGGAAGATGAATTAGATGCTTGCTTATAAGACAAAAACTGAGTATACTCATCCCGTGGAACATGAACTGTATCTGATTCAGCTACATTGTGCGATCCAGAAGTGACATCATTCGAAGAAGAGGAAACTTAATTTGCATAACTAGATGGTTTCCCATGAAGGTCCCAACAAAAGTTCACAGTATGATTAGAAAGACCACAATGAGTACACTTTCTTAATTCCCTGCCACGGCCACGTCCTCCACGTGAATCACGACCACCACGGGCGGAGCGTCCCCCACGACCTCCACGGTAAGTATTATGTTCACCCTTTGAAACTACCAATGCTGAACGCTCACCACTCTGTCCAGTATTCAAATTTGAGGAATCACTTGCTAGTGTAGCACGCTGAAGTCGAGAAAACACCTCAGCAAGAGATAGAAGTGTTGGACTGCTCATAATCTGTGCACGAAAAGGCTCATATGCTGATGATAAACCGGTAAGAAAACGGACAACATTAAAGTCCGCACGCTGTTGTTGCATACTGCGAACATCAGCAGTGTGGGCTGATACATATTCAGCTCTTCACAGACTCCTATAACTTTGGAATAATACTCTTCTATACTTTGAGTACCTTGTTCAAGATTGAAGTACTATTTACATAGCTCATAAACACGGGTGATATTACCTGTCCCAGAATATAACTGCTGCAATCTATCCCATATCTCCTTGGCTGTATCCAAATAAAGTAACGTTGAACTAATTTGGGGTTCAATACTGTTTATCATCACAGAGATGATCTGAGCATCTTCCTTTTCCCATGCATCAGAGGAAGTATCAGTTGCCTTGAGTTTCTCTTTAGTCAAATGAGAACCAAGACCTCTTCCTTTGAGAAAAATGGCAACAGATTTGGCCCACAATATGTAATTCTTCCCATTGAGCTTAACTGAAGTCATGGGAGGATTAAGACTGTTCGTGGGTGAAAGCAAATCTGAACTTGAACTTGAGGCCATGTTGAATCCAGCAAAACAGAGAAGAAAAAGGAGAGAAAACAAAAATTCTGTATTCTGGCCGAACCTGGAAGCAGGTCTGTAACGGGTCGGATTTTGAAATCGGGTCGGATCCTGGTACGGGTTGGATCCTGGACTATCCCTGGTTTAGTAAACTGGGATTAGAATAGCACAACCGTGTTGCAAACACGGGTCTTCTTCTTCGCTCTGTCACAAACTCCGGTAAACAATACGGCGGAGGTGACGGCAACCCAACCACGAGCAGCGGCCGAATCAACTTCCGGCCGAAAACCAATCTCACCTCTGCAAATCGAGACGAAGAAGCTTCTGCCGGCGACGACGACCACCAAAGAGGAGCTGCCGGTGACGATGAAGAAGGCAGAAATGACGAACACACAGATCTGATTACGGTGAACAAGAAATTGCTGACAGAGACATCAAAACCACATTCACGATCTGAATCACGATTTGAATCACGATTGGAATCGTGATTCACCACCAACCCACCTACTAACTCTCACACTCATGATCATTGTGCTCTGATACCATGTTCTTAATCAAGAGAGAAACAGAGAGAGCAAAATCGTATTCACTTTGTATGTAAAAACAACTTACAAAACCTAATAAGCCTATGTAGGCTTATATATGTTACAAGGTTTACATAATAACACAAACAGCCTATTAACTAAACATAATTACATAACAACCCACTATTATATATATAACTTTTAACTGCCTTCATTGAAGTCTTCATTATTATAGACTCACGAGTCTGTTCATGCTTTATAAACCTTCCATCTTAACTGTCCCTATTGTGTCGAAATGTTAATGATGCGTTAAGTACTACAGGTGTTCATTGATGAGTTGGATGCTATTGCACCTGCACGGAAGGATGGAAGTGAAGAGTTGTCTCAGAGAATGGTTGCGACATTGTTAAATTTAATGGATGGCATTAGTATAACTGATGGGTTACTTGTCCTTGCTGCAACCAACAGGCCTGACAGTATTGAGCCTGCACTCAGACGGCCTGGAAGACTTGACAGGGAAATTGAAATAGGTAATTTTTAATCTTTCTTCTTAGTAATTGTCCACAACCATAAGGAATGTCTTGAGCTTTAGATGTTGCGAGGTTCCAAATTACTCATCCTTTTAATTTTGATTAGACTTCCTAAAATAGTGATTTAGTTTTCATGGTGTTTGTTTTTCCCTTCGCTCAACTGTTCTTAGCATCCAACATATAGTTATCCCCTACCACATACAATGACACATTTTTTCTCATTGGGTTGTTTCAAAAGGCTGACATGCATCAATCCTCAACTCTTGGTTTCAAAACTGTTGGCCCCTCTCCTAACTAAAATAGGAGGGAGGGTGAGAGACACAGAGAGAACTATTGCGCTCAGCCAAGAATATTGTTAAATTTACGAGCCATGTAACAGGCTTTAACTGTACAATATGACAATCTATTAAACATTATTTTGGGTAGGCTCCATATAATTTATCTGCATTCTTAAAGTTTCCATACTTGTTGGCATTTGTGTTATTTTCCCCTTTTATATTACTTTATTCCTTAGTCTTTTATTTTGACCTAGCTACGAGGTTATAATGCTGGATCCTAGTCGTTTATGGAATCCAAATATAGAAGTGGATATTAAAAAATCATTTATTTATTCAATCATTTTGCTAACATTTCTTTCCTTTTGGTAACACTTGAATTTAATGAAAGGGGGAGAAAAGATATAAATGACAGTGGTCTCCATGATACAAATGGAAGGAAACAAATGAAACTACAGGGGTAAATATAGAGTTCCCCTTTTGCTATAGTTAACAGCATAGTTGATATAATAAGAGTTTGAACAATTTTTTTATGAGTACACTAAGTAAATATAAGTATGTTAGAATGATATTTGAACTTAAAATTAGAAAATCTCTGTTTGTTTTGTTCACCAGGAATTGAGTACCTTGCTGCATTGGCTGAGGCTGTTATATCTCACCTGATAGGGAATGACTTAATTTGCTTGATAATTTATATGCAGGTGTACCATCTCCCAAGCAACGTTGTGATATACTGTTTGCCCTTCTTAGTGAAATGGAACATTCACTTTTGGACATGCAAGTTCAACATCTTGCTATGGCTACACATGGTTTTGTGGGTGCTGATCTAGCTGCCCTCTGCAATGAAGCAGCCTTGGTTTCTCTTAGGCGATATGTTGACTTAAAGAAACGTTCTGATATTTCACACCTCAACGGATTATCTATTGTAGATGATGATTGCCCTACTAGTATAACAAAAGGCTCTGATTTTCCTAAATATGCAAGGGATCTATTTTCAAGAGAGAATTCAGAATCAGCATCTTCATCTATTCCAGATTTGCTTATTTTTTCGGAGGCTTATAAAGGAGTTAATACTACTAGGGTAAATAAGACGTTTAAAGTGGAAGAACAGTTCCTGAAAGTAACTTTCGAAGATTTTGAAAAGGCTAGAATGAAAATAAGGCCGAGTGCTATGCGAGAGGTATATTTACACACATATTCTGGATAATTTTTTATATCGCATAATGATTTGTTGAGTGTCCATTAATGACAAGATGACTCAACCGAGTCATTGTGTTGTTGGGCAAGAGTTCGGTTCATGTTCCATCATTTGGTAAAGAAAAAATTTGTAGTTGGTCTTCTTTATTACAATACTTGTTCCCAATTTTTACTAGGTAATACTTGAGGTTCCGAAGGTTAATTGGGAAGATGTTGGTGGTCAAAAGGAGGTAAAGACACAGTTAATGGAAGCTGTAGAATGGCCTCAAAAGCACCAGGATGCTTTCAAGCGTATTGGAACCCGTCCCCCAACAGGGGTATTGATGTTTGGTCCGCCAGGGTGCAGCAAAACCCTTTTGGCACGTGCAATAGCTTCTGAAGCAGGGCTGAATTTCCTTGCAGTGAAGGGTCCAGAACTTTTCAGCAAATGGGTTGGAGAATCTGAAAAGGCGGTGCGGTCTCTCTTTACTAAGGCAAGGGCAAATGCCCCTTCAATTATATTTTTTGATGAGATTGATGCTCTTGCCGTTATACGTGGGAAAGAAAGTGATGGAATTTCTGTTGCTGATCGGGTTATGAGTCAACTTCTTGTTGAATTGGATGGTAATTAATTAATTTTATATATCACATTTAATTATTATTATTTATTTTTATCCCCTTGCTGCTTCTGGACGGCTTCCATTTAAAAGCACGAACAAATCCTTTAGCATCTCCTGAGGTAGAAGTATAGCAACTTTACATTTCCTTCCAGTTTTAATTGTAAAACACGAATTTTCAACTAGGTTACTGAATTGTCATTGTTTAGATTTGTCATCAGCAGCTGGGGAAACAAAATTTTAATTATATCCTAGGTTTTCATATGCAATGAGATCTCTTTTTAGGAGATCCACAAATCTATTAGCTGTAGAACTTCAACATACTTACCGATATAAAATTAAAAAACAGAAAAAGAAGTAACTTCAATATCTAATGTCATTATGAAATTGAACTGATACCTTTTCCATTACAATCTACAATATAAACAAATACTTTGTTGTTTTAGGTTTGCAGCAAAGAGTTAATGTTACTGTTATTGCTGCCACAAATCGGCCAGATAAGATTGACCCTGCTCTTCTAAGACCAGGTGCCACCAATCTTTCTTTGTCTAAGTTAGATCTTGAGTTTCTCCAACACTTTCCTATTTCTTTCTTCTACTAAGTCAATAAGCCTCCTGATAATTGATTGAATTTTGATAGGACGCTTTGACCGACTGTTATATGTCGGACCTCCTAGTGAAACAGACCGTGAAGATATATTTCATGTCCATTTGCGCAGAATGCCATGCCATTCTGATGTATGCATTAAGGAGCTAGCTCTTCTCACTGAAGGCTACACTGGGGCTGACATATCGCTTATCTGCCGTGAAGCAGCTGTTGCAGCTATTGAAGTTAGTTGAGTTCCATTTATATGATAAAAAAATTCTCTCTGAAAATTTGCCCTAGTAATATGCATATATATATTCTTTGAATGTTATCAGGAGAACCTTGATACCTCAGAAATAACAGTGGAACATCTAAAAAGTGCAATTGAACAAGTATTCCCATCAGAAATTCAGTCTTATCAAGAGTTGTCCACAAAATTCCAAAGGCTTGTCCACTCTAGTGCAACAAGGGATGAAGTAGGCTATCAACCATACTCAAGCAAATCGAATTGGATTCATTTCAGGTACTCATTTCCTCTTTTTTGTTTAAAAGGTGCAGTTATTGGTATCATATATGCTAACATATGCCTAGTCAAATCTCTGCTATTATGGTAAGTCATTCCATAAATCGTGGTATCATATATGCTAACAGTTATATCTTTCTCTCTTTCATTTTATTTTTTCTCTCAGACATTTTATTTAAATATGGTTATAGCAATTAGCAAATACAAAGTTATACATTACGTCATTACCGGATTGGGATTCACCTTCAGAAAATTCAATATAAAGCTTGAAGTTTCTTGTGGTAAGGTTTAATATGCAAATTTGGGAAATTTCACTAGGATTCTGTATTGAAGATGATTTCTTTTTTTCATTCATGAATGGGTGGAAATTTTATAAAAAAAGAACAAATAGTACAAGAACTGGAGGGAATTATACATCCTCAATACTGATCATGTAAGGAATGGCTTGAATAATACCATCTCCTATACAAGCAAATTAAGAAAACAAATATTTAGGAAAAAAAAGAAAACAAAACAAAAACAGAACTGAAGAACCACAGCATCAGAATGTGGCACTCAAATCCCGCAAACTAAGATGAAGAGCAATCTGATCAGGAGTCCTATGTACCTCACCATACATTCTAGCATTCCTCTCCCTCTAAATATTCCATATGGTAATAGCAAAGATTGCTTTAACAAATTTGGCTTTTGATGACTTGCCCTTTGAGTAGTTAACAAACCATTCTGAAAGTTCACTGAAGGTTTGGAACTGATGATGAACTTGATTGTAAAATCCCAAAACCAACCCCAAACAGATTGTGCCAAAGAACAGCCCCCAAACAAGTGATCACAATTATCTACTGCAGCAATACAATTATAACAAACTGGGGTTAAATACAACCCCCTCTTCTTCAAATTGACAAAGGAAGGCAGAGCATTATGATGGACCAATACTGATGTCAATCCTGCTTGAGGTCTGCTAGCATTCCATCAAACATTCTCCCAAAGTACTTTTGGTCCTTTATGTCTGCAGGAATTCCAAAAACCTTTAGGAGGGCCATGCTTCCAGATAATTCTATCCACTTGTGAAGTAATAGGAATACTCAAAATTTCAGTTTTCAAACGATCAGTCAGCAGGCAAAATCCAAGCACCATTCCTGTTTACATGACTGGGCTTCATATATCTATTTCATCCCACAGTTCTCCAAAGTCTCTGACCTATAATCAGCAAAATAGACTTTCCATTGCACCATAGATCTGAGAGGAGATTAAACTGATGGCAATCTGCAACTTGGAACTGGATTTGCTGCAACATAAACTCTCTCACCTTTAGCATGCTTTTCCATATGGCTGAATCTGACCCTTTTGGTACACATTCCCAGAACGAACTGTTCCTTATGTATTTTTTATTGAACCAGGCAACCCATAAACAATCTTTATGTTGAATGAAGTCCCAAACTAGGTTACACTGAGCAGTATAATTAATATCTCCAATTCTTCTCACTCTAAAACCACCTTCACTCCTTGGGAGCACATTCTTATTCCAACTGATCATATGAATGCAATTCTTATCATTTTGGAAACCCCACAGAAATCTCTTCAGTAGCAAATTAAATTTCTTTTTTTATTGGCAACCCATAAACAATCTTTATGTTTAATGAAGTCCAAAACTAGTTTACACTGAGCAGCATAATTAATATCTTCAATTCTTCTCACTCCAAAATCGCCTTTACTCCTTGGGAGCACAACCTTATTCCAACTGATAATCTGAATGTGATTCTTATTCCCAAAAATAGGTGAAGGAGATCAAGACTGATCTGATAAGTTCTACCCTACAAGCCATGGACAGATTTAATCCATTCCACACAGAAAGTTTTGCTGCAACTTTGTCAAGAAGTGGATTACAGTGGCCGCTTTTAATACCATTTAGATTCAAGGGTAGGCCTAAATATTGAACAGGTAAATTGTCTCTTTCAAAGTTTAAACTGCAAAATCCTTGGCACATTTCTTTTCCTTCTAACTGCTTTAGAAAAGAAAATGGAACTCTTTTCCTTGCTAACGATAAGTCCAGAGAACCTGTAGAATTCCTCAAACACCTCAGCTAGAACTTTTGTTGTCCCCAACTGTTCTCTCACCACAACAAAGAGGTCATCAACAAAGAAAAAGTGACTCAGCTTCATACCGTCTTCTAAACTGAAGGACACAACTGAATTGAGCCCTCCCTCACTTTTTCATTCATCAAATTAGAGAAATGCTCTGTAGCTGGAGTAAAAAGCTAAGGAAAGAGAGGGCATCTGATGGGGTACAGGATATGATTTGAATACATGAGTTGTACATGCTTCAACATTACTTTGGAGAAGAGGGAAAGAGAAATAAAATTGGGGATTTTAGTGATTTAGGGTTTTATTTATGCTTATTGTTATTTTGATAATGTTTGAATTTTAGGGTTACTTTGGTAGTTTTATGTTTTAGGGTTTGCTTAATAATTTGCCTATTTAAAGGCTCCTTTGTAATTTGAGAGGTCAGTTTTGAGAAATTGAATATTATCGTTGAGTTTGCGAACTCCCTTTGTGTCTTTCTCCCTATTGTTCTTGCTGTTCTTAATCCCTCTGTCTATCTTTCCTACCTCCTTCAATCTGATTCTCATCCCTATTCTTCTGTCTTCTCACCTCCTTCGTCTAGCCTCATCTTATCTTCTCATTCTCATCTCCTTTCTTTCTAGTTACTATAAGTTACTACTTGTCCTACGTCAATTGATGGGGAACGGGATATGATTCGAATACATGAGTTGCACATGCTTCAACATTACTTTTGGAGAAGAGGGAAAGAGAAATAAAATTGGGGATTTTAGTGATTTAGGGTTTTATTTATGCTTATTGTTATTTTGATAATGTTTGAATTTTAGGGTTACTTCGGTATTTTTATGTTTTAGGGTTTGCTTAATAATTTGCCTATTTAAAGGCTTCTTTGTAATTTGAGAACTCAGTTTTGGAGAATATTGATTATAGATTTCTTTGAGTCTCTCTCTGTGTTCTATTGTTTCTCTCATTTATGTTCTTGCTTTTCTCACCCATGCAGTCTATCCTGCCTATCTATTCACTCTGTTCTCACACCCTTCCGTCTATTTTCTCATGCCCTTCTTCTAGTCTATCTATTCTTCTATTTTGTCATCCCTTTCTTTCTTTCTGGTTACTTGTCCTGTGTCAGAATCCCTGTCTGATTCTTGGTTTGTGGATCATACAAAAGGCAAAAATATCATGTGCAGTTTGATAAGGTGTATTTTTCACTGCTGTGTTGTGGAGTATATGGGGTGAGAGGTAGATGGATGTATGATGGGGATACTCATTCTTCATATCAGTTGGCTATTAAGGCTTGTTTTGAAGGTCTTGATGCATCTAGTTTGTCCCTATCTGATCTGGATCATATTTTCGCTAGGACTGATGTTGGATTGGAGGCTTTCCTTCTCTCTCTTTCTAGCGTGTTTTGTTTCTTTTTGCTTTGTTTTGCTAGTTTGGGGTATACCCTTAACTGGCTGTTTTGATATAAAAAAAATAAATAAATAAAAATAAAAATACAAAATAAAAAATTTCTTGTGATCAGTAATTGATTACTTTATCCTATTTACTTCTATTGTTCAATTTGTAGTTTAATAAAACTCCCGCATTCAGGGGGAAAAAAAACACTTATACAAAGTGTTACAAAGGGCAATAGGTCCAAAATCTGTAACTTTAACAAGAGTAAGGAATGTTGCATTCATACCAGTTGGCATAGAGCAGTTGTGAAAGAAAAACAAAATAGCTTTAATGAGATCATAATAAATGATAGACCAATACTTTTTAAAGAACATGGCAGGAAACCCATTTCGGCCAGGAGACTTATCAGGATTGAAAGCCATGACCACCTCCTTGATCTCTTCTGCAGTAACTGAATACTCAAATTACACCTTTGCTCCATTGATTAGCATCTCCTAGGAGGTTTCAACTCTATATTTGCTTCATCAGTAGTTCTAGGGTGCAGTCCTTTGTAAAAATGCATCAACCATTCTCTTATCTGATCCTGGTTAGTAGATAGACTTTGAAATTGAATGGATAGCCCTTCTCTGCTTCCCTTTCTGGTGGAAGGATCTGGAACATCTATCATGCTCTGTTAACCACTTTAATCTAGATTTCTGAGCCCAAACAACTTCCTCCTGGTGAGGGCCAGCTCCAACTCTTTGGCCTTTCTTTATTTCAAAACCAAATTGTCTTCCATGGGATTGATCAAGAGGGCCATCTTAATACACTCCAGCTCTCCCATAGCATCTCTGGCCTGTCTCAAAATTGAACCTCTTTCCCTGTTTAGACATTGATTTTTTTCCTTAACCTTCCTGAGCCTCTTCATAAATCTGTGAATTGAATTACCACTAACCTCTTCCTTCCAAGGTTCAGCAACTATGACATCCACCTCTTCCTTAGAGCACCAAACCCTTTAAGAACTTAAAAGGTTTAGGTCCTAATGCACAATCTGCATTATAAGAAACAATCAAAGCAAAATGATCTAAAAGAGAGGCTGCTGTTAAGGAGAGATTTGAAATCTCAAACACTCTTGAGCCATTCCCCATTACAAAGCCCTCTATCGAGCCTAGCACAAAGTCTTCTACAATTAAATTGGCTATTAGACCCAGTGAGACCCCCATTTGTTATAGGAAGGTTGTCCAAACCAATTTTTTGAAGAGTTTGATTAAATTCGTCAAGCAACCTCTTTGGAATTCTCAACTCCCCCACCTTCTCCTCATGAAACCTCACTAGATTCCAGTCCCCAATGGCAATCCAAGGACCTTGAATTATAGATGAATGAATCTGCGGTACTGCATAGATTGGCAGCATAGACACCAGTCATGAAGAAATGAACATTAAGGTGCAATAAGTTAACCTTGAACAATATACACTGAGCATACTCTTGCACAACCTGCACATCAACCTTACTAACATCCCACTCAAGCCAAATTCTACCACCATTAGATACAGTATAATTTCCACACCAGTTCCAGGAACTATTGATTTTAGAAGACACACTACTGAACTTATTCTGCTTTACTCTAGTCTCAACCAAACAAACCAAAAACAAATTATTTTCCTTCAACCATTTATTTACCATTCTCTGCATCTTGAGCCTATTGAAGCCTGACACATTCCAACAACCAATCATTGAGAAAGATTGGTTGATGGATGTGCTCCATCAGCAGACATAGCCCTAGACACCCAATTTGAGGCAACAACTCCATGCATTTTCTTTTTAGCAGGCATGCTTTTACCTCCAGAGCCCTTATTCTTCTCATCTTGATCTGGAATAGAACCACCATTCTTCTCTGCAACTATACTCTCCCCTTCGTTGCCCTTTGTGAAATAACTGATATCTACTAGCAGAGATAGTAGCTAAATCTTCATGATCTTCCACGCTACCATCTTCAACACCCTGATCCTCAAGCTCCTTTTGTAACTCATTAGGAACTTCAGAACTCTGGTCCACTCCAACAACAACAGCCTGAAAATAAATTAATGTAATTTATTTAATATAATCATATCTAAGCTAATTTCTTCTACCATTACACCATTCTGCTGCTTCATTTTTTTTTTTTTTCCTTGAACAACTCACCTCATTCACCACAACCCTAGCTATCAGACGTAGTTACTGAGTTGGATGTGATAAGTAACCAACCTTGATTTCTAATGAATGACTAGGTAACACAAAATATATATTTATCTTTTTACAAATTCCAGTTATATATATAAAAGAATGCTTTAGTTGGGTGAAGATTATGCTCACGCCAGTGTTATAATTTTGGCTCAAAAATTCATCCAATCTAGATGAAATTTTCAGACCTCTTTAATTTTACGTTAACGATTGTACCAGTGGTGGTTAGATCGGCATTGTGCTCTCAATGCCTCCATAGCCGCAAGAACCACTACTCTCTCTCACCCAAAAACCCATTTTAGCAAGTACCCAACTACTGCCACATATTTAACTTTCTCTCACATACCCAAATAACCACCGCCAAAGGCTTCTTTTTTGCTGCGCTGGTTGAAGTCCTACAGGTTCCCTCTACGGGTGCCATTTGCGACGATGTTCACTGCTTGAATCTCTAATACTCCACCCCACAGATCTCTCCTGAACGTACGCAACGCATCAATTGGTCTTCCAAATTCCACAACTGGGTTACCTGAGTATTTAATCGAAACCAAAACACCTAACATTCTAAGACATTCACATATTTTGGATCCCAATGTCAGTAGTTGGGTTTCATGAAGAGAGAAAATTTAGGGTTAGAGAAGGTTGGATGGAAAAAGATATTAAACTGATGAATTAAAAAGTCACTTTCAATCTTTAGGGTTAGAAGGGTAAGTTAGTAATTTAACTTTATGTTGCTGACATCAACCAACATGTTCGCAATTCAGAAGAATGTTTGTGGGGGTAAAACGGTACTTTTGTTCTCGCAATTAAATAAACTAGTGGAGTTAACTCTGACAAAGGGTGTCAGAATAATTTCTTTTATAGTTTCATCCCAGGGTAATTTGGATAAACTTCAGGGGTGGTCAGAGTAATCCACCCTTTATTTTATTAATATTATAATATTATAATATATATATATATATATATATATATATATATATTTAGTTTACAGTTCGGTTCTAATGGATCTGGAACCAGAACCGGACCAAGCAGACAGTTCAACTCATACCGGTTTGCCGGTTCCAACGGTTTTTTGTGCACCCCTAATTTTAATTTGTTACCAGAGGCAAAACAGCTCCAGATTGTTTCCTATAATGAAGCAGTTTCAATTAAAAATAATAATACAAAAAAAAAAAAAAAAAAAAAAAAAAAAAAAAAAAAAAAAAAGCACCTCAACTTCAGAAATGACGCTCACGCCTTTTTCAGTTTCCATGATGATCACATAAAACATTAGCTGCCTTGGTATATATGACTTTGAACGTCTGACAGATCTAAATTTTTATATGAACTTCCATAATGCTATTTTAACAGAAAATGTTGGCAAGAAAAGCCCCATCAAACCTTTACGAACCCACCAGGTAATCTTTTAAATTTTAGACACTTGTCAAAGGCCTTCGATTATGTAAAGAGCAATGATCCTACAAAGAACAGTGAGCTGGAAGAAAACTAAATTCAGTTAATGACCACAATGGACTTTTGCTCTGTAGTAATTCAGTTAATGACCACAATGGACTTTTGCTCTGTAGTCTTCGGTGTTTCAAAAATGTGATCAAATGGTAGATACTTGAATTTGCATTGAAGCCTTATTTGACTCCTCCATTAAGCAAAAAAATAATTACACAAGCAATTGTTCACAAGGAAGATTAACTTCTATATTCTTCGCCACCACTATGAAGATCAAATGGGCACCGCAACTCTATCTCCACGACATTATTGTTTTCTATAGGATCGCCGTAGTCTAAATGTCACCTAAGTATCGCATCACCAATCATCCAGGTTTTATAATGTCAAGCATTTCTGTCAAACGGTTTGCCATATGCGTTGTACATAGTTTCCAGATCTTAACCTTAAATGTAGTGTGAACCTGTCAGTTAAACATTCTTAGTTGGGAGAGTTTGATACAGTCAAGCAGCTCCTTTAAGCTTCCAAATTTGACACAAGAATTAGGTCTAAAAAAGCTAGAAAGAAATAAATTTTTTTACTGCCAGTTAGTCTATTAGCTCTAGTATATAAAGGGAAAGCTTGGAATTTTCTTACTGCTTTGAGGACACATATAGCTTGTTGATATTAATTGGAAATGGATTGTGCAAAATATCTGCCCGAAAAGAGAGGACAAAAACATTGGGTAAAAAGTATTCCGTACTTTTCAACTTAAAATTTGGGTGTGACTACTGCCCTTCCCATTTGCACAACGTATAACTCTCTCTCTCTCTCTCTCTCTCTCTCTCACACACACACGCACACACACTTGTCATTAATTGATCAAATTCTATACTCCTACCTACATTTGGTTTCTTATCCTTTATGCATAGCTTTTATGAAACTTATTTGTTACTAGTATTAATTGGCCACCTCTCTCTTTATGTGCATGTGTGTGATAGTTGTTGTGGATGCTACTTTCTTCTTTGATACAATCTTTCATGATCCGGTACATTCATCTCTTCCAGGGTTTGAATTAATTGACAAATTTTGATCTGTTTTGGTGAAGCAGGGCGCTGATAAAATTTATACCACAATTTATTCATCGGTTACCAGCAGCATTTTCGCTGTCAAAGTTTTATTCCAGTAGGTAGCCACATTTTTGCCAAGAGTTACGCCTTTGTATATTTTGGTTTGCAATATACTGTTTGTTCCCAGAAGATGAAAGATCGTGTGATGTGGATGTGATCTATAAAGGGGCTATGAGAGTTTGGAGCTCACTCACTGTTCATCTGTCTGCCAGCTGTAGTATCGTTATGTGCGCTTTCCAAGAAAATAACTCATTTGAAGCCTTGGTTTGTTGAGCCAATTATATTCTCTCACTGGTTTATGGGTTGATACTAAAGCTCCATTCGCAATAAAAACAATCAGCCTTTCTGGTTTATGGGTTTGTTGAGCCAATTATACAAGTGAACAAATAATTGCCGGATACATGACAAAGGCGATCACAATGCTACCGAACACACCGAACAAACTGGCAGCCCAAACAAATCACAAAGCATCGTGAAACCATTAGCAACATTTCAGATGCTAAGGGAATGCCCCAAAATAGGGGTCCGAACCTAAGAAGAGAAATTAGGCTTTGATTCCATGTTGTAAAGCATAAAATGAAAGCGAATAGATAAATAAAATAACTAGACACAAAGATATTACGTGGTTCAGCCATTAGTGTTTACATTCACGTCATAAAGAGCCCAACAGGTTACATCACTTTTATAATACTATCTCAATTCATATATAATATAATGGTGGAGGGTTCTTTATATAGAAGAAGAAATTATGAGAATTGAATGATGAGAATGGGAAGAGATAGAAAATAGGAAATAAGGATGATTTCCACTTGCTGCCATGGCTTTATAGGTAAGACATGCTACCTTGGAACTTAAAGAAAGTCAAGCTCCTCGAGTGACAATTATTACGATTTTTCTCCACTAATTCTCTATAACATCAAATCTTCAATAATAGGAAACAGAATTAATTACTGAAAGCCTTTCTCTTACTAATTTTTCTATTAAATCTTCAATAGTTTATTTTAGGCGCCAACAAAGACCTCCCTCATTCGATCGTTAATGGAGCAATAAAAATATTAAAATGTCATTCCTACACTTAAAAAAAAAAACAAAAAATTCACTTAATGTAAAATGACTATTATGGCATTTATTAAACAAATTCAAAGAAGGGCATTTTCAGTATTTAAATAGTATACAAAATTCAGTTAAAAAATATTGAAAAATTTAGTGAAATATAATAATAATAATAATAATAATAATGGATAATTTAGATAAAATTCAATATGCAAATTTGTTATTTTACGGATTTGATTCGATCCAATTTGTAGGATAATGAATTGGTGGCGAATTAATATTTGTCTAATTTGTCACGAGTGAATCGGATTAAATAATTCTATTAGATACGTATCCAACCCTAGAGAAAATGGGGCGCGAATCACTTGCAGTGAGACTCCCATGCAGTTTCCTGCTGTAACTTTTAAGTGGTCCATATTTGGTCACATCATTCTTCAGCTAACGGACACTAAGGTCGCGTTTGGCCAATTACACCACTATTTATAAGTAACATTTCATCACCATTTATAAGTCACATCACATAGTCTAAAAAGTAATGTCACAAATAAAAATAACTCAATTCAACATATTATTTATGTTATTATTTGAAATTAAGAGTAGTGATGTTTCTTTTTACAAATGGTGATATTACTTTTTAGACTCTGTGATGTTACTTATAAATGGTAGTGAAAAAAATAATTTAAAAAGTAACATCACCACCATTTATAAGTAATATCACAGGAGTTTAAGTAACATTACCAAGTTTTGAGGGTGAAAGATACTTATAGATGGTGGTGATGTTACTTTTTAGATTATGTGATGTTACTTTTAAAAATAATAATAAAATATTATTTATAAATAGTGATGTACTGCTCACTGTGAGAAACAATACGAGAATTGCACAGTGATTCGCGCCCGAGAAAATGAATGTTGAAATATTTACGGAGGCAAATCGGTCAGAACACATCTGCTCTTAGGGCACGCATGTCATTGAATAGGGTTTGGAATATTTTTTCCAAAAATGAAATAATGAATGTTGAAAAAGTCACAAAATGTGTCAGAAAAAATGTTCTACGATGGCACACGTCATGCCATTGATTGATTAAGCAAAATTAGGGTTTCCAAATTTGAGCTAGGGTTCCAATCTGACACGTCTGCTCTCATCCAACGGCTGTGACACTACCCTAATTGGAATACAGCTATTTTTGCTAGTGGCCGCCACAACACGTACTGCCAGATTACTCTATATAATTCAGAGTTTGGGCGTCACTTCAATATCGCTTTGGCTTATTCAGGCAATAGTTTGTACTCTCTCTCTTGTGTGCCAACGCTTCGATACGCACCTGAACCGGCCAATCTCTTTCTCTGTATACGGTCTGCCGGTTCAGGTTCGTGTCTAAGCCATGGCACACTGACGGGCACATCTCATACCATGTTGAAGTGGGGTAAATTTTTTCATTTTGCTATCTGGTCTTTCATGTTGTTTGTGCTTTCATCGAGTGTATACCTATAGGCTATATCTTTATCCAGTATATAGAATCTTCTACCATGGTTTGCAGTTGCGATCTTGCTTGCGGTTGTGGTGTAATGATCTTACTGATTCGAACAAATATCAATACAAATCGATTAGATCGATTGGTTCATGAAACCCGTATACAGATATACGGGAACGATGCCTTCTACTTAATGTGAGAATGTGACTTATTTGAACAAATCGCTTCTTCATGAAACCCATATATTGCCTTCTACTTAATGAGAGAATGTGGCTGGTTGGACCGGTTGTTTTTTTATTTTGGTTTACTTTTCAGAAAAAATTTAAATACATTTTCTAAAATGTATTTTATTAATTGTGTTAAAATTTTTTTTTTTTTATTCACTGCCATGCGAGTTTTTATGCGTAATATTTATTTATTTATTTTTTATTTTTGCTAGTGGCTGCCACGACACTGACAGATTCTTCTATTTTAGTATTTATTATTTATGTTGTTGTTTAATGGCTCCCTTCACATTATATAGGATAGGATAATTTCGTGAAGACACTATAAAATGTAAATTGGTTATACTTTCTTGTTGACACATTATAGGTACTAATAATCATTGTGTGTTCATTTTTTTTGTAAATATTTTAATTTTTTTATTACGGACTAATTCCAGGATACTTTTATCATCACTGAGTTTACAAAAGTGACATTTTCTCGATATTACTATACACTTTGTTCTAATCTGTTGGCACCAAAAATTGGCAGCCATCTCAGCGATGACGTGGACCAATGAGAAATTGACAAGTGTTTATTATATCTTAAGGGAAGTCGGCCAATAAAGAGACAAAAGGAGAAAATCTAGGCAAATATATTTCAGCTACTTTGTTGATAAGGTTGTTGCTAAATATATTTGTAGAGATTTGAATCAATTCAAATATGTCATCAATTGAAAAGAGAAGACTTAAGAGATTTAGTTACAATAAATAACTAAATCCCAATGAAGTAGGAATTTCAACAAGAAAGGAATAACCGTATAAGTTCAAAAGTTACAAATGGCCATTAGGCCATTTAAGGGAATGAAACGGGCTCCTAAACTTAAGGAGGGGAGTTGCTAAAAATTAGCAACTTTTCAGCAACTTTCTAGCAACGGTTTAGCAATATCTCGGCAACTTACATATGATTAAATCGAGGAAGGTTGTTTTTATAGAGATTTCCTACTGAAACAAAACAAGAAAGGAAGCGGAATAACAATAGGATTTGACTGAGTTCAAATTGTGAAGAAAAAGAATCAAAGAAGGAGAGATTTTTTAGCAATAACTTAGGAAAATAAGTTGAGATAGAACTTCTATAAATAGAAGTATTGTATTCCTATTCCAATTTGTCCAGCACCACCACAAAACATGCATTTCAACTAAAAAAGTTTTCAATTGAACGTCATTTTTTCCCTATCAATTTCTTTATTTCAATTTAATGGCAATTGATTAGATCATTGTCAACTATTTCAATTCAGCCATTTACTTTTTTTCAATTTCAATTATGCCAATTTTAATTACGCAATTTTAGTTAGGCTTTCAATTCAATGGCAATTGATTAAATTCTTGCCATTGAATCGTAGTGACAATTGATTAAATTCTTGTCATTACTTGGCTGATGGCAATTGATTAAATTCTTGCTATCACGTTTCAGTGGCGATCGATTAAATTCTTGCCATTGTGTTTGGCTGATGGCGATTGATTAAGTTCTCGCCATTACGTTCGGCCGGCGATCGATTAAGTTCTTGCCGCCTATCTTCACTCGGCCATTCCATCCATTCAAACATTCATCAGCCGTTGCATTTCTTTAGACACTCTAAAAAGTCCTTGCTACAAACAAGGCATAAAAGAACCTTGCTGGGAGTTCTTACTTGTCTCTCTCCCACACAATCGCCTGAGAGTCAGCCATCGGAAAAAGGGATAGGCTGGTGTTCAATTACATATTTTGGGTATTTTGTACAAATACTCTGGCACGCCCGCGAAGAGTCCATCGACCGGCGTAGGGAACAAAAACCGCGCGAACACGTTTTGGCACGCCCGGTGGGACCACTACTAGAGTGTTATAAAAGAGGCAAATATGCCGCGGCCCACAAACAATTCTAAGGCCGTGGCTACTGATGAAGATTTGGAGGAAGGCGATCAGCTAGTACAGGCTGAGAACTCTGCAGCAGGTCCTACTGATGAGTTAGCCGTACTTCAGACACAGGTTAGCTCCTTGGTAGATGCAATGGGAAGGATGGGAGCACGCTACAACGACTTGCATGAAAATATGTCCCAACTCTCAGCCTTTATTTTGAACAAGCCGACTCAAGCTAGCAGCTCCAATAATCAGGAATCAGCTTCTCAGCCGAATCTATCACAAGCTGCTCGGCCAGAGAGGGCCGTTAAAACATCACAGCCATGGCTGCCAGTAGTGACACTCCAACC